GTGTGCCTCCACAGGGGGACAGCTGGTGTCACCACCTTAACAAGGGATCTGACAGCATCCCTGTGGGGAGGAAAAGGTTAACATCATGCACCTCCAGGAGCTCTCAGAGGATGGAGGAACATGTGAAACATCACCAGAAGGAAGCAGCCAGAGAGATCAGCCGTGGGACATTCCACAAGACCACAGCCACGGCTCTTCACAAAGTCAACAGCAAACACACCAAAGAAAGGAAAAGAAGATAAAAGAGAAGAAAAAGAGCGAAAGGGAGGAGACTGCTCTAAACAAAAAAAGACTAAGCAGATACATTGACCAAATGCAATGCGTGACCCCCGGTGGGATTCAGATTCAAAAGATACAGCCATGGTAAACTTCTTTGGACCGTCAGGGCCATTTAAATGTGGACTAGATGCCAGATGATCTTACTGAATTATGACTGACTTTCTTAGATGTGATCATTACAGTCTGTGCTAGAGAATGTCCTTTTTCTTAGGAGGTGTCTGTGGAAGAACTTAGGAGTGCAGTGTCGGGATGTCTGCAAATTGCCTTCAGGGTCTCAGCACTAAGGCAGGAAGGAAGAGACACAGACACACGGAACCACGCAGACACCAAAGAGCTATTGAATCTTGGTGGAGGGTCCCTGAGTCTTCCTTACATTTTTAACTTTCTTGAAGTTTTAAATTTTTCATAATAAAAAGTTAGGAGGAAAACATTTTGAAGTAGAGAAAGTAGATCTTCCCACAGAACACCGTGGACCCTTATTATTGTTATTTGTAAACACTTCTCTTCGTTTTATAAAGTGAGTTTTGCTAAAATAATGGTATTTGGCATTTCTGAGAAATTAGCACAAAGGAACAGCTACATTAGCAACATAGGAAATTCAGTGCATCTGAGTCATATATGTAAATGTCGATAATGAAAATGAGGGCTTTCGCTGCATGTCTAAGAAATGTCCTCTTTTGGAGACTCTTCCTTTTGTCTTACACCCAGAACTGTCTCAGAGGAGGTTTGACAGCAGGGCCTCAAGGGGCCAGGAGTGAGTGGCAGACATGAGGAGCTCAAAGAGACCACAGCACCTGCAGGGACGTGGGTCTTTAGAGACAAAATGCCACGGACATGCTAGGGCAGAGTGGAACCGGCTCCCTGGGAAATATTGATCAACAGGACAGTGTTCCCTTTCATCAAGCAATTTCACTTAAGGAACTCATGCCCTTCAAGGCCACACAAAGACAGTAAAATGTGAATTAAATGAGCAGATGTTGTGTGTTTAGAACAGTGCCCTAAGTTTTCCCTGCTGTGACCGTAGGATTTCATTTCATTTCATTTTCATTTAAAAAGATAAGAACTGTCTGGCAGGCTATACTAAACAGGAAAGGTAGCATGCTAAACAGCGAACTTGATCTGTATAAGCCAGCAGTTTTGTAAAAAAAAAAAAAAAAAAAAAAAA